ATGTACAAGTCCAAGTTCCCTGTGATGAATATGATCATTACATACATATATAGTAACAACATGTTTCATAAAAATAAAAATTCATAAACCTCTACACAAAACAAAGCAAACCACAAAAAATCAATAGACACGTGAGAATAAAATTCAACAAAATTCTTCCCAAAGTGCTAAAGTCACTGGAAGTCAAAAAAAAAAAAAAAGTGGACAGAGAGAGAGTACTCAAGTTACATTGAAGGATAACAGAGATGGGAAATGATCAGATTCATAAATCACTCAGCAGTATAACAGAAAAAATAAGCAAACAAATAATACAGTAATAACAAAAGTCATCAAAGAACTTTCAGAAGCCACTAATGGAAAGCTACATGAGCTAAACAAAATGATACGAAGCATAAATGAACCAGTTGTGCAAATAATTACAGTCTATAAAAGGGCTATTCTCAGAAATCCAGGAAATTAAAAATTATATTGAAAGTAAAGGCAGAAAAAGTGACTAATATGAAGAAAGACAATATTATACACTCAAAGACCAACTACTACTATTAAACTTTTAAGGCAACAGGAGAACATGCAAAAGGTATCTAATAGCTACCAATTGATGCAAAGAAGGCTAAGCTAAGATTAATTGGAATAAGTGAACAATCAGAAAACAACACAAATGGTATAAGAAAAAAGCATTCACAGTAATAGTGTCAGAAAACTAAATATATGAAAAAGTAAACATAACAAATAAGCCAGGCACCACACTATACCCAGAATATAAGACGTTTATCACGGGGACAAAACTTCACAGTTCTTAGAGAAATACAGTGAGTGACTTACAAAGGAAACTCCATTAGTGTCACTTCAGATTTTTGTACTCAAACTTTAAAGGGCAGGAAGACTTGGAGTGAAGTATTTACATCCTTAAAGATACCAACATTATGATCAGATCAATTTTTTAAAAAATCTTCTGCACAGAAAATTAATCACTATCAGAGTTAAAAAACAACCTACAGAATGGGAAAAACTTTTCACAAGATACTCCTCAAAGGACTGGGATCTACAATATATAAATACCTCAAAAATAAATAAATGCACTACTCAAAATTCAAGAACAAATAAAAAATGGGCATGTGAAATGAGTGTCTCAGATAATGAAGTACAAATGACTAATAAATACATGATAAAATTTTCAATAAGCATGATCATTTGAGAAATGCAATTTAGAACACAACTAAGACTCCATCTCACTCCAAAGACAATGTCCATCATCAGGAAGTCCAACAACACAGCATCTACATGGCAAGAACTAAGTCCTGGGTTCAATTCCTGCTACCAAAAAATGACAGAAATTAAAAATTTAAAAAGAAATCCAATAATAACTAATGCAGGCAAGACTGTGGAGGAAACAGGAACACTTTTACACTGCAGGCGGGAATTTCAAACACTGCCGGTACCCTGGGAATCAGTATGGAGATGCTGCCCAAAACTAAACCTATAAATTCCACTTAACCCAACTATTTCCCTTCTGCATATCTTCCTGAAAGTGTTGACATCTTCGTCTCTCAGTGGCACACCCATGTTTACAGCAGCAGCTCACAACAGTTTCTCAGGGATAGGCCACACAGAATTTCCTTCCATAAAATACTGCAAATGTGTAGTAATGGACTTAAAGGTTAGAGTACCTATGTTTCTTTTCTTTCTTTGTGATAAAAGGAATATGTTTTTCCCCTTTTATTTTCAGATATCATTCTTTTCCCCTTGAAAATATATCTGTAATAAGTCTTCAGATGACCTTTTGATTTGAAGGATTGTTGGCTCTGACTTTCTTGTATCACAGTTATTTAACTTTCTCCAACTTTCAAATATTTTGTTTTTTGAATAATTTATGTAACATTTTGCCTCTTTTTACATTACTTTGTACTCCAGTGATCTGTACTTTCTTCATTTGATGTTTCTTCACAGGTCTAGTTAACTTTTCTTTGTTTCTCTTCATTTGTTATAAAAACAGATTTAAAGTATTACAGACAATGTAGTCATGCAAAATGATCTCAATGTAAGACAGAGATCTTCCTTTAACTAGTGTAGAAATCTGGGTCAAAAATAGCATCCCGATTGCTCAGTGTAAGGTTGATACTAATCTGTAGAAAATAATGTCCACCTCATTCCTTTGAAATATGTCACCAAACAACTGGCTCACTGTTCTCTGCTTTCCAATGAGGGTAGAGAACATTTTGAGATGCACAGAAATTCTCCATACTGATTCTGATTACACTGATGTTAGGTGATCTATCCTTCCGTGAGCAAGTGTCATTTGCTCTAACAATGTCATGTAATATAAAAAGAATCACACAGAATAAATACATTTACATTTAAAAATATCTCCAAATAACAAGCAAAGTGTTTGACATGGTATAAAAAATTATGGTAAAATCACTGGGTATCAAGTTTGAAAGAATCATTATCCTGTTTACATAGTGTTTCTCAAAAAGAAACAACAACAACAGAGCATGTGGCCCTCAGTTTTCAAGTTCTGTTACTCCATTGTTAGAAATTTCCAACGTGGCATTGTGCTAATCATTGAGAGGAAGAAAAAGAATTTCGACCCAGGGCAGAGATGTCAGTTTTTCCCTGTCATTGGCTCAGCAAATTAACAAATGAAAACAGAACCAACAGATAATTGCTGATAGTCTTCCTGGTTTCTGTGTTACAGAAGATGACGAGAGGAGCTGGTTTCTGCTCAGAAGCTACATGGCTCCATGGAGCTTGTTGTGGCTGCTATCATTTTTATCTCCACAAGAAAATTAGTGCATTCGAATGTGCATACATTTTATTCGTATGTGTTTGTACAGATGATTGTCTTAAGGCAGGCATGTGGTTACAGGTACGTGAAACATCTCAATGCTTTTTATTTCCCTTTCATATCTTCTTTTGCTCACCCACTTCCCTCCTTCATTTGGTTTCCTTCTCACTTCTAAGAGATCTACTCTATCTCCCTGTTTCCTACTAACTGTCTTTCTGTTTTATTTTTATTGATCATTGTGTTTCTCATGTAAGAGGTGATCTGGTGCACTTGGAACGGTTTGGCTCCTCCTGGGAAGCTACTCTGAAGCTTCAGCATAAAGTCTCTGATGATTACTTATGTATAAGTAAAGACATTTCTGCTTAACACAACTGGCTTCAGCTTACTTTACTTTTGAAAGCCACACATTTCTTTAGACACCTTCTTTTTGTCAGCTGTTTATTTTCAGTTCACCTGCCTTCCAGCTACTTCATTCTTTCTGCTTTTTGATTAATTATGCATTTGAAGTTCTTCAACACTGCTTTCACTTCTTCTATAGGTGAAGAATTTTTGATTTGGTTTACTTTTCTTATTGCAATGTCTGTGTTATGTATCTGATAAATTCTTGTCTTATTTCTGTTTTCTTTAATTTCCTTAAACTCCACTTAGCAGCTTTTAAAATTGTCTGAGAGATCCCACTCTTCTTTCCTCATAGTCAGTCTTAGTGCCTTGTCTGTTATATAATTCTGCACCCAAATTTCTGAATGTTTTTGATGCTAATGTACAAGCATAATGAATGATTAAGATTTCATTCTGTTCTTTCAAACCATTCGTGTGCTAATTTTTCCTCAGTGGGCACTACAGTGATGTCCAGCACACAGCTGCTGGCAGTAGCTCAGCTCTGGCCTACTGCAGCCAGCTGGGAACCACAGTGTGGCTGAAGCCAAAGTTTACCATGACCCTGGGTGGCATCTATGCTGGCAGAAATCTCAGCCTGGTTGCACCTGTAGGAAGCCATAAGAGGGTGTCCAGCCCGTGCTGGAAACCATTCCAGGAACAGAACCCTGGGCTCCTGTCCTGGTGACCAGACAGGGAATGCTTCATATTCCCCCCATGAGCAGGAGAGTTTGTCTGCTGAAGTGGGAGGACACATCGACCACACTGGTTTTCTCTGGACCATTGTGTCCGAGGGTGGCATCTCCTTAGCCCGGGCAGGCACTCATCTGGATGCTGCACAGCTGGTCACTTCTGCAATGAAGGGAAATGTGCTGAAGCCAAGATCCTCCCTGTTCCCCAAGATCCATTGTGGGGCAGAGGCTCCCGAGCCTGTCTATTGGACCAGGGCCATGGGCATCTCTTACCAGGCTCGGCACAGGAGAGACTGTCTCCACTGCAGGGAGAGGTGGGAAAGTCCCATCTGCACAGAGGATGATCACTGTCTGTGTAGCAGTCAAGGCTGCCTCAGCCCTTCAGATTCAGCCTTCTGCTGGTCAAGGGAGCTACAGAAAACTCTCTGCAGCTTATCAGCAAGACCATAGGTGGTGATCAGTCAAACAGTTTTAACTAGTGAGCCCAGGAACACACCTTGTACTCTGCGTTCTGAGTGTGAGTCTGGGCTCTCAGAACATCCCAACAACCCTGCAGGACTTGGGCAGCTCCAGGGGTTCACAATGACAGACCCTGAGAGAACTGGGACAGATTTCACAGTGCAGGAGCATAGAATTTTGCATGTGTAGAGATAACAGCAGGTTATTTTTCTCTGATCTGACATCCACTGATGGTGTTAAAACTATACAAAAAAGAGGAATAATCTTGTCTATCTTTTTGGAGCTGGTATATATAAATCTTAGAAATTAATAGTGTACATAGAGGAAGCAACATTAAAATAAATTACATGCGATAATAATATATACTAGGTTAGAGGAAAAGCGTTGAGTCACATATTAGCATTTTCCTTCTGTGTGACATTGGAACAATATTCACTTATTTTTTATATCCTTAGTTTTTTACCTGGAAAGCAGTTGATAACATTAATAACATTTATATTTCATATTTTGATATAAAAATTGTCTAACAGGAATCATAAAAACACATTCTCAGAAAAGTATATCAAAAATGCAGTTGGCTTATTTAATTCTTTGGTATTACTTAGGTTATAATTTTCTTTTATATAATATTAATGTAGGAACATTACAATATCTTTTAAAAGTTTAACAAACTCTGAAATTCAGATGCACTATGAAGAGTGGAAATTAAATTTTCTGGTGTTTGGGTTGAAATGTTTTCCCATCCACCGCTTCAGTGCTCCCTTGACCTCTTTGTTCCTCAGACTGTAGATCATGGGGTTCAGCAGAGGGGTGAAGATGGTATAGAAGGCTGACACCACCTTATCATGATTGGCTGACCTGTAGGATTTGGGTCTCATATAGATAAAGATGGCAGCGCCATAAAAGAGCCCCACCACCGTCAAATGGGAGGAGCAGGTGGCCAAGGCCTTCTTGCGGGCCTCTGTGGAGCGCATGCACAGGACAGCAGTGAGGATGAGGCTGTAGGAGGTCAGTATGAGGGATAAGGGAATCAACAGCATCAAGATACAACAGATGTACATGACATTCTCAAAGACTGAAGTGTCAGTGCAGGCCAAACGCACAAGCACGGGGGCCTCACAGAAGAAATGATCGATCTTACGTGCACTGCAGTAGGTGAAGCTGAGGGTAGTAGCAGCCTGCATGAGTCCATCAGCTGCCCCCAGGAACCAAGAGCCCATGGCCATCTGCCAGCACACCTGCCAGCTCATGAGAGTGGCATACCGCAGTGGGTGGCACACGGCCACGTAGCGGTCATAGGACATGGCTGCCAAGAGGAAGCTCTCCCCACCACCCAGGGTGAGGGAGACAAAAATCTGCAGCCCACATCCAGCCAGGGAGATGGACGTCTTCCCTGCAAGAAAGCCATCTGCCATCTTGGGCACAATGGTGGAGACCAGCATGAGGTCCATGAGGGAGAGCTGGCTGAGCAGGAAGTACATGGGTGTGTGCAGCCGGGGGTCCTGGTGGATCAGGAGGACCATGAGAGTGTTGCCGAGAAGGGAGGCAGTGGCTATGGTCAGCACTGAGGAGAAGAGGAAGAGGTGGAGTCTCATGTGCCCGAAGAGTCCCATGAGAATGAAGCCTGAGGTGCCGTTGCTCTGTTGCATGCTTTCTGCCGGCGTGATTCTGCAAATGGAAAATTGGAGAGTCAGGTATATCACAGCATCTAAAAGTCTTATTTCGTGATTTGTTTATATTGACGACATGAAACTGCAGGTGTGAGTCAAAGCCTACCTGCCAAGCCAGCTACCCTTGGCTTATTAGCATGCTTCTCTACTGCTCCAGGTAATGTGGCTTAATTTCAGGCATGCGTATACTCCACACAGGAGTAGAGGGGTAGGAAACTATGCATAAAAATATTTTTAAACTTTTGTATTACTTAATGAGAGGGTTAATTTTATTCTTTTAAAATTATTTGTATCACGATTACTGTGTTTCTTTTATGTATGCTGGAACCAAACAATCAGGAGAAGAAATGCTGTCTTAGGATTCTGTTTGTATCACAAATGATTTATTTTTAACCTTATGGACCACAAATATTTTCAAATAAGTTTTCATAAAAATGAATAGGAATTAAATTTGTGTCAAAATATAAAAAAACTGCATATAAGTGCAACGTAAGAACTTTCTTCATTTCATCAGTAATAACAAGTCTCAAATAGTTAATTGAAATTTCTTTATCCTCGTTCTCATTAAATAAACTTTAATTTTCCTGATTTTCTAAAGGTGTTCTGCTTCTCCCCTGATTTTATAATTGCAAGTGTCTTTGTTCATCTCTTCCTGCTCTGAAATTTTCATCACCAGCTCACTCACCCCTCTTAAATGAAATAGAAATTTCTTTCCCAGATTGGACTTGGGCTTGGAGAAGTGTCCAGCGTGTCACACCTTAGTGTACCCTCCCGGGCACCTGCAGAAGCCAGTGAGAGTGGAGAGTAGGAAAGCGCTTTGTAAGTCCTCCTGGAGACCAGGGGGAGCTCCAAGGAGGAGGTGCTTAAGGGATGAGAATAGTGGTGGTCGCTGGTTTCCTCTCTGTGCAGCGTTATTAATAGTCACAGAGTGAAATCAACTTGAAAAGAAGAAAGACATACTTCAGATAATGTCATTGATGTTTGACCTATTATTTATTAAATGATAAATAAATTAATAAAATAGCTAAGTGCAAAAATATGCAAAAATCATGAACATTTCCATATACTAATAACAAATTTGATGAAGCCATCGAAGTTACCACAGTCACAAGAAGCATTAAAAATTTACCTAGCAGTGAATTCATTTGAGGAAGTGAATGATGTCTGCAGTTAAGTTACAAAACGTCAAGGAAAGAGCTCAAAGGCAAAACAGAAATGGGAGGAACACTTCTCCATGCTCTGGGACTGGAGGAATTAATGTGCTATCCCCTTGGTGTCAACCTAGGTGACCTACAGATTCACTGTGATCCCTGGCGAAGTTCCTATGTCATTCTTCACAGAAGGAGAAAGAGCAGCCCTAAAATTTATAGAGAAGCATGAAACAGCCCAAATACCAGAAGCAAACCGAGTGAAAACAACAAACCTGAGGGCATAATGACACCTGATTTCAATGTTTAATAAAATCGATTCATTTTCATAGCAGACACAGGCCGACTAAGTCCACAAGGAAGAGTGTGAATTTACTAGGAGTTTCACAGGTTGAAATCTGTTACATATCAAATATAAGAGGCATTTTAAAATTATGACCATTTTACACTCCGCACTAAAGACTCAATCTGTGACTCCAGAAGGACTAAGCAGCCCAAGGCTTCTGCTCCCCGACGCAGCTGTGTGCAGGGGGCGCCCCCCCAACGCCCACAGACCTGCGCAGGCAGGGCAGCTTCCTGGAAGCACAGCTCAGCCTAGTTCACTCAGTGCTTTAACCGCATGGAGACCCTGGGCTTCTCCTAGTTCTCGGCCGGCCTTTGCCTGGGGCACGGAAGCCAGGCGATGGTCTCCTGGACAGGGACTGGACCAGAGAGCTGAGCTCTAGGCCGCTTCCTTGTCACAGCAGTGACCAGAGTGCGCAGCTGGGAACTCCAGGCTGGGTCAGGAGCTCAGGCTTCCCCAATGCATGGTTGGATATGAAGTTCCGTATTTGCTAAAAAATGGAAACTCTGCCACAGGGAGAGAATGATCCCTGCTACCATTTTCTCTCCATCTGTGAGATGAGGGGTTACTTATCTTTGTCTGCACTTTTGCGCACGTGTGCTCAGTTAGCAACCCTACAGACACACCAGTGAGTGAACGAAGGGACAGTTTTCATGCGGGAGTGCTTGAAACATTTCAAGTCATGTTACACATTGGAAGAATTTTTTTTTTTTCTAGTTTAGGTTTTAATCTAGATCTCACGTTGGCATTTTTTCCTAGAAGCTTGGAAAGTAAAGCAGAATGTGTAAATTTGGTGATTTGACCAAGCAATGTAGTAACATGAACTCGAATTCTTTGATCTGAAAAGAATAAACTCCACCTTCTAAATAATTTTCAGAATGAATGCTTTTAGTCAAGAAAGCAGGAGTAGGAGTAGAGATAAAGGGTTTGTATGAAAGAGAAAAATGTGAGGAAAACTATTAAATGCAACATACATGTGCACAAATTGGCGAAGAAATAACATAGTACTTTAATTCGGATCGATAATTCTGAGAAATAGCAAACAAATAAACAACTGTGTTTTGAGAATTGCTAGAAATAATATTTCATAAATTTTACTTTAGAACACGATAGTAGTTAACTGACTTAATAGTAACAATTTGCATACACTAATTTATCATTTTTCATGTTTAAAGCTACTGCAGATTCATGATATTTACATCACTCAAAACCATTTTTAAAGTGAAAGATCTATTATCATTATGAACAAATTACTGTATGTACTTGCTATTTGAAACAGTTCTCAGTTAAAATCTTAAGTTAACTCTGAAAATTATTTAAAATGTTAATGAATTTTAAATGAAAAATGAATGTACTTACATTTTAAAGTCAATTTGTACAGTGAAGTTTTAGGCAATTCAGTAGATTGTGTGAATAAAACTTTTTTGAAAACTTTTTACACTCCAATCGAAACTGTGGAAACCGCAATAGTCCTGAGCAGTGACCTGAGTTTTCCAGTCAGTGTAACTGCAGAGAAGACTGTCATTAAGTTCCTTACCTTAATCAGAGAGAAGAGGATTTTGAGATACACAGGGCGAAAATCCTCGGCTCTGTCAGAGGTCAGTGGCCTGAAATGAATAAGAAAATGTGTGTGTGGGGTACTGTTACTTTTTCCACCTTCTTTCTACTTAAAGTCTATTAACGTATTTTTATTACTGCATGTTTACAAGCAATGGAAATATATCTCTTTTAAACCTAATGGGAGAAAAATTTCCCTAATATTGACAAGTAATTTTTTTTTGTACATATCACCCTCGCCAGAAGGAAGAGACTTGTTTCCATTTCTGTGGATCCATAATTCTGGATTGTTCAGAAGTATTAGAATTTCATTCAACAATCTCTCTTTGCCTACTTTTTGCTTCTGACCTTCCACAAAAAGACTGTCTCTGTGCCCACAAGGTATTGATGTAATATAGTTAGTATCATGAAAGAGCCACGGATTTATTTTAAAAAGTACACCACTATGAGCCAACTCATTTGACTGGGTTTCTTTTAAAGAAGAGTTTTTAAACTGTATGTTCCTGGATGTGCATAAGCTCCATCTTACGTACTCAAAACTTGATGTAGGCAATAGAGAAACATTTGTTCTGTAATGCTTATTAGATACAATGTTACAAAGATACTTTGCAGTTCAAAATTCAACTTTAAAATACCTAGTATATAATAAATATATAGCATTTGAATGACTTCCTAAAATATTATAACCCTCCACCAAATCAGACTCACCTTTGCAGAGGAAAATTACCACCAATGAGATCCCTATATAAGGCTGTGACTCTGCCAATGTCTGTTTTGGTGGATGCCATGGAGACCACTGTGTGCTGTTGGCCTCCTGCCATGGCAGTTACTGCCCTAGGTGACCATGAACACTTTCTGTACCTAAAAGTGACTTCTCTAGGGAGCACAGGTTTAGGATTAAGTGCTTTTGGCAAAAGAACAGAGATACAAATGTCTTCTAAGGTAAATGATTCCAATAAATCCCGCAGCACCCTTGCTTCCTAAGGTCTGTGGATGAGGAGGCGCAGGTGTGGTCCTGTGAGCCAGAGCACACACAGGAGCTGTGAAAGTTGTGAACTGTAGTTCTGTTGATTGGTAACCAGTGAGTTCAGCAATTGCAAGTCTGCATGAGACAGACACGTTTAGTAAAATGATTGTGAAATATTCTTATTTGTTAAGCATTTCTACATGCCAGTGAATATTCTTAGTACTTTAAATATACTTACACACATTTTATTAATCTTTGAATCAGTATTTGGATCTATTAACTTCATCTACGACATGAATGTTAACATTACTGGTTATGAGTAATGCATTTGTATTAAACCAGCATTGGTTAGCTGAGTGAAGAATTTTTGTTTTTAAATATTCTTTCACTGGAAGTTCTAAAACATTAGGGAAAATTGGAATGATCTCAATTTTTGAAGTTTTGTTAATGATGCTTTGAAAAGACTTAATTCACATACATTATATATATATATATATATATATATATATATATATATATATATATATATCTTACCGTGTAATTGCCTGATTCATGGTAAATACTCCTTTTATGGTCACTGTTATTATATTCAGGTTCTTTCAAATGGGAAAAGTATATGTAACGCAGTGATTGCATGGTTTCTGGACCATTTATTCAAAAACTTATCTATAGCAGAAAAAATGCAATGGAAGGGTACCCTTGCAATATCTAACAATAGAATTTTTAAATTCTTTTCATTTAGATCTGCTAAAAATTGTTTAGTTTACTGGGAGAATGCACCTGTGTTTAATATACTGCTTACTATTAATTATGCTTCAGAACCTGTGAATTTCTGGGTAAGTTTGTGAGAATATGTATAATTGCGTTAAATAAACAAGCCATTTCTCTCCAAGCAAATATACTTACCAGTAACTTTACTCTAATTAGAAACATCAACAACAACAAAATTAATGGCAAGCTATTTCCTGCTCTGC